GCTCTAATAAATTTGTTAGTCTCTAAGGTGCCACAAGTACTCCTGTTCTTTTTGCAAATTATAAAATGTTCAAAGTGATACAATTAAAATAAGGAATTTTTTCAGAAGTCAAATACTGCCTGTTCTCCCCTTCACCCTGCTTTCCATTTTCACAGCACAAACTGACAGTTACACCAGCAAGATCATTGCATATGGCATGCTGCAGATAATAAAAAGTTGTTTTACCCATCAAGATAATGTACACTTTGGCAATATCATTTCTCAAATGCCCAGTCCTTTGACTGTGGCTGCACCCATCTTTCACTGGGATATGCACTTCTTAACTCAGCTGTGGCTTTTTGCTGACCTTTGATTCTTCAGGCTCTTCCTATACTAACCAACAACACTCTGAATTCAGCGCTGGAAGCATCTTTCACTGGACTCTTCTCCTTTTAGTTTCCCCTTTAGGTTTATAGTAAAATCCCCAGCAATCCTGGGAAGAGCATTTATTTAGTTTAGAATGCAATATGGTCTCCACCTTGACAGCTCAGAAGCAGTCAAGCTGCATTTCTGCGGCAGTAAACAGTTGTGTAACTGCAAATTGCTCTCCACAGGTACTAGCAGGACACCAGAACATTCTTGGAAAAGTTTGAATTTCAGAGTAGTGTCCCAACTGATCCAGGTGTCTCTCAAAGGCCAGAAGAGCTAACAGGATCTTGTCAAGGTATCTTACATAATAATTTTATGTTTATTTTTCCATAACTCATTGGAAACTTGAAATGGAAATCTATTTCCTTGACAAAAACTGTTCTGTTGTGTGCTCATTAATTTACTGTAGGGTTGCTCATGAGTTGGCATGAGAACTTTTACAGATAAAAGATGTATAATTATTTGGGTTTTTTTGAAAAATGCAAAAAGAATAACAAGATTTTGGAAATAGCGTGACCAGACAGCAAATGTGACAAATCGGGACCGGGGTGGGGGCGGTAATAGGAGCCTACGTAAGAAAAGACCCCAAAATTGGGACTGTCCTTATAAAATTGGGACATCTGGTCACCCTAGAAATAGATGAATAGAAAATAGTAATACTAACATTGCTTTTCTTTGCCTGGGCAGGGCTCTTTAATTATTTTATTGTTTAAAATAAAGTTACCTTGGGAAAGAAGTGTCCATGATTTTTCATGACAAAGTTATAGAGAAGAAAGACCTGTACAGAACTGTTTACAGAGTTTATTGCTGTATCTTCTGTTTGGCACAGCTCTATAGCCAATGCAGGAAAACTTGTTTCTTTTAAAAAGGGGAAAGTATTGTGATAACAAATATCCCATTTGTTTAGGGGTTTACCCAAAACCAAACAAATGGTATTTATTTAATAGTAATTTTTATAATAATAATATGTATGGCATCATTAATGCCACAAATATTATGGTGATTAAAAATAGCATGCATTACTATCCATTCCTTGCTGTTCTGTAGCCATTTTCACCTGGTAATAATGTTGCTTTTATTCACATAGATCCTTATGTTGAATATCAAATGTTTATGGTTTCTCCCTCAAAGAAAATCTACTAGTATAAACATATTATTCATTAGGATCAATTAACATCCAACTCTCTCAAAATCCATGTAAAGGTGAGATCTGTGCAGACATAGAGTTCTCAACCCATTGACCCACAGCTGTGCTATATTAGAGGCATAATGATGATCTGGCATTTAAATTGGCTCTTTCTTCTTCTTACCCCTGAGAGCTCTTTTCAGCCAAGGATCCCAAATAGTTTACAGACTTAAACAGATACACAAGCTCTACTCAAGGATCACTTCACCCAAAACTGACGTGCATCTGCTTTGGGGTCAAAGGCAGCAGCTGTCTGACAGTACACACTAACACTGCATAACAGTTTTGGAGAGGGAGTGAAGAGGAATCCTGTATCCAACTGCAGAGGGGCATTTAGGAAGGCAGGATGTAGTTCCTAAGCTGGAATTTGGCCAGGACATCTGAGTTAATATCCATAATGTTATGAAAAGCATCACAGGATCTTTAATGTTCATGAGTGGTCAGGACCTTAATGTATAATAGAAAATATAAATATACTATAATAAATAATACATCTTTATTTTAAATCTCTCCTCGCTGAAGGATTCTGGCTGTTGAACAATGAATAAACTAAGAGCAATTAATAAACTTGAGGACATTGGCTAATCTTCATTGCTTCCAGACTGGCCAATTCCTTAGGGGTTGGGGAGGCCTGTGTGGTCTTTGTACTAGGAAAGGGATGGGGGAGAACAGTTCATTTTGGTTCTCCTGGGCAAGGTTAGTTAGGTTACTGTGAAAATGTCAAAGTCTTGAAGGAAAGACTGAAACTTCTGACCATTCTAGAGATGAAAAACCACTGCAGAAAAGATGACCTTCTGCATTCAGCTCACAATCACAAAGTCTGTAGACCAACTCATAATATTTGGGGCAGACTTCATCAATACAGATAAGACCCTTTCAAACTGCAGGGCCTCTCAATTTTATCCAACAGGGAGCAGAAGATAAAAGCCCTAATGATCCCAATTAGACACTGATTTAATTATGTTTGGGAAAAATCATGGACTTTTTACAGTTTGTTACAATGCGGTTATGTGGCCATGTCTGTGACATTTCAGCTTTATTCTAGCGTCCATTTACCTTTTGGCCTTTTATCATAGCAATGCCTCGGTATTCCCAAATGCCCAACACTGCTGTTGACTTGTGCAGAAAATAGGGAATGGTTATAGCTACCAAGTTTTGTGCAGTTCCATGTGAGACGTTTTGTGCAAATGATTTAATTAGCTAATTTGTATACAACCTTTGGCTTTAAAAAATTGTGTAGATTTAGTGCTGGTGAAAGGCGTTGGCTTGGTCTTCTGTTTAGCTAAAGCAGAACAGCAGGGCAACCTTTCCACAAACACTGACCATCCAGTATGCCTCACCCCTGATCTTGGGGAAGGGGAAAGGACTTTCCTGCAGAGATAGTAGGGATAGTTCTTAAAAGGGAGTCATATATGTATTCTCAGGCAAAATAAAACCTACATGAAGGTGGAACTGAGTTTGAGAATACATATTAGTAAATTAAGGGTAAAAATATAACTAATAGGGATATTATAATTATCCCCAAATGAAGCATAATAAATCCACAAAATTCCTAGTTAAGGTTACACTTGAAAGAAATCCAAAGATGTCAAGATAAGAAATGTTGTGTGCAGTGTAGTTGTAGCCATGTCAGTCCCAGGATATTAGAGAGACAAGCTGTGTGAGGTCATATCTTTTATTGGACCAGATTCTCTCCCCAACAGAAGTTGGTCCAATAAAATATATTACCTCACTCACCTTGTCTCTCTCGGGTAAGAAATGCACAATTAAGCCCTGGTCTACATTAGAATTTACAACGGTATAGCGATGTTTCTCAGGGAAATCCATACCCCTGAGAGACATCGCTATACCGACCTAACCCCGGTATAGACCAGCACTAGGTCAATGGAAGAATTCTTCTATCAACCTAGCTACTGCCTCTTGGGGAGGCCTACAGTGATGGGAGGACTTCTCCCATCAGCATAGGTAGTATTAACACTGAAGTGCTACTGCTGCAGCAGTGCCACTGCAGCATTTTAAGTGTAGACAAGCCCTCAGGAACTCAAACAGCATTAATTGTCAGACACATAGATGAACATAATTTGTTGGGGAAAACGACAACATGGTTTTTGTAAAGGGAAATCATGCCTCACCAATCTACTGGAATTCTTTGAGGGGGTCAACAAGGATGGACAAGGAGGATCCAGTGGACACAGTGTACTTAGATTTTCAGAAAGCCTTTGACAAGGTCCATCACCACAGGCTCTTAAGCAAACTAAGCTGTCATGGGATAAGAGGGAAGGTCCTTTCATGGACTGGTAACTCATTAAAAGATAGGAAACAGAGGGTAGGAATAAATGGTTAGTTTTCAGAATGGAGAGAGGTAAATAGTGGTGTCCCCCAGGGGTCTGTACTGGGACCAGTCCTATTCAACATATTCATAAATTATCTGGAAGAAGGGGTAAACAGTGAGGTGGCAAAATTTGCAGATGATACAAAACTACTCAAGATAGTTAAGTCCCAATCAGACTGTAAAGAGCTAGAAAAGGATCTCACAAAACTGGGTGACTGGGCAACAAAATGGCAGATGAAATTCAAGGTTGATAAATGCAAACTAATGCACATTGGAAAACATAATCCCAACTATATATATAAAATGATGGTGTTTAAATTAGCTGTTACCATTCAAGAAAGAGATCTTGGAATCATTGTGAATAATTCTCTGAAGACATCCACTCAATGTGCAGCGAAGGTCAAAAAAGCGAACAGAATGTTGGGAATCATTAAGAAAGGGGTAGATAATAAGACAGAAAATATCATATTGCCTCTATATAAATCCATGATATTCCCACATCTTGAATACTGCGTGCAGATGTGGTCACCCCAGCTCAAAAAAGATATATTGGAATTGGAAGAGGTTTAGAGAAGGGCAACAAAAATTATTAGTGGTATGGAACGACTTCTATATGAGGAGAGATTAATAAGTCTGGGACTTTTCAGCTTGGAAAAGAGATGACTAAGGGGGGGATATGATAGAGGTCTATAAAATCATGACTGGTGTGGAGAAAGTAAGTAAGGAAGTGTTATTTACTCCTCAGAACACGAAAGCTAGGAGTCACCAAATAAAATTAATAGGCAGCAGGTTTAAAACAAACAAAAGGAAGTATTTTTTCACACAACGCACAGTCAACTTGTGGAACTCCTTGCCAGAGGATGTTGTGAAGGCCAAGACTATACCTCGGTTCAAAAAAGAACTAGATAAGTTCATGGAGGATAGGTCCATCAATGGCTATTAGTCAGGATGGGCAGGGATGGTGTCCCTAGCTTCTGTTTGCCAGAAGCTGGGAATGGGTGACAGGGGATGGATCATGTGGCATCATGTAGAGCTGTCAGAAAGTGGCCATAAACTACTGTAAATACCTCCCAATGGGTGTAGAGTTCCTATATCCTAGCTATCAGACTCAGAGGTCCATGTTTCTGCCATGTATACCTGGAATACACCTCTCATTAAGGAAGCCGCTGGGCATGTTGTTTAAATTTATTCTGCATGTTATTTGGAATGTATTTAAGGCCGAGTTAGGACACTGGTGATAAAACAGCAGTATAATAATGAGAAGCTTTTGTATAATAGCAGTATAATGATGAGAAGCTGCTCCTCAGGGCAGAGGCACATATTATCTACTGATCAGCTCCGTATACATCTTTGGTGCTATATTAAGGATAATTAAATGTTATTGTGATACAGTAACAACTCCTTTCATTGATATATGCTCCAGTAGCTCACCATGTGTGCATGTTGCATTGACAGAGGGTAACAGTCACTGAACTAATTTAGAAGGCTCATTAATAAAGGGTGATTTATATTCTGGATTTACAAAGGAAAAGAAAGAAATATTCCTGGCATCGCCAACTCTAGAGCCGAGATGGAAAAAAAAGCAGATGACATCACCATAAGGAGGGAGAAATGATCTTCAGATGGACAGGTAACAAAGAGCTGTTTGTGTTTATGTATAATTAACTGGCCTGCACAGTGAAGCAGGTAGGTGTTACTCTGCTGCATATATTGCATGTATGCAGCTCATTCAGGAGGCCAGAAATGGTGCCCTTCTTAAACCAGTATGTTGTAAGAGAAAGACAGTACCCAGGGATTTCCAAAAACGAAGGCATGTTTAACACACTTGATTAATTGCTTTTGGAAAGTGACAATGAGAACAGACAGTAGTGAAGCAGCAAAATAAAAGGCTATCTAATATTAGCAACTGAAATCCTCAATTGCATAACAACTGACTTAGTAACAGAGATGAGAGAATTATAGTAAATGGTTACAGATCAGGTAGCAGAGGTGTGACAAGTAAAATGTTGCAGGCATTGCTGTTGGGCCCAGTTTTGCTCACAATATATCAATGACACAGAAAAGGGAATATGCAAGATGTGCAAATTTGCTGAAGACATAACTAGGAAGACCAGCTGGTACCATAGAGAAGGGCATTGGATTGAAAGGCACAGAACTAAATGGGGGCTGGAGCTGACAAGGGACTTTTGTGTTTTAATGTAGAAAAATATAATAAAATAATAGAGGTAGGACTGAAAAGGACAAAGTGGATTCTGCCCTAAATTATCCCCATCAGCAAGGCACTGATTAGAAGAAAGGTCTGGAGAACAATGATAACAGAAAACTAAAGTTACCAGCTCAGCCAACAAGAAATCAAAGAGCAAAAAGGAGGTAGTGATAGAGGGATAAAGCAGGAATGAGAAGGGGTCACAGGGGCAGTGAGACCAAACCTGGAGTGCTGGACACAGTTCAGAGGTCCGTGTAGAAAAGAGGATATTGAAGATTACTCTTGTTTCCAGTAGTGCTCACACTATGCTAGGCACACCCCAAAAAGGCACCAAAGAGGGCAATGAGGGTGCTAAAACTCTCAGAGGGTACATACCTAAGCCAAGGTTATAGGAAAGGGTTTGTATTCCCTAGAAGAGACAAGGGTATGACTGAAGGATATCCATTTTTAAAGGATGGAGGGAATGTGGGTGTCAGGAATGCATTTGCCAGGGTAACAGGGAGAGAAAGAAAAGGGCATAAACTGAAGCTAAGGCCTGGTCTACACTGGAGGGGGTGTCGATGTAAGATACGCAACTTCAGCTACGGGAATACCGTAGCTGAAGTCGACATATCTTATTCCAACTTACCTCCCGTCCTCACGGTGCGGGATCGACGGCCGCGGCTCCCCCGTCGACTCCGCTGCCGCCGCTCGCTCTGGTGGAGTTCCGGAGTCGACGGGGAGCGAGTTCAGGGATCAATATATCGCATCTTAACGAGACGCGATATATCGATCCCTGATAAATTGATCGCTACCCGCCGATACAGTGGGTAGTCTGGACGTACCCTAAGAAATGTGTGAGTACGAGTTGCCAAAATCTATTTAATGAGCAGTAAAATGATGTGTTCCTTTCTGCTACTTGTCTCTGACTGAGAACTGATTAATTCAACACATATTTAAACATAGCATAATCAAATCATAGAAGAAAACACTTGAGTCATCATTTTCATTTCATCCATACCCCTTTTTCTATATTTCTGTTGTGTTGCCTGTACTAGAAACCCAATTGCTAATCTAGGGTCATTCAGATTTCACCATCAAGGGCCACGTTACCAATTTGCAAGGAGCATGAGAGAGGCAGGTAATTTGCATCTATATACTTTTGCAACTAAAAAGTAAATGTACTCCAGTATTAGTTCGTGTTTTTATCTTCCTCGGTAGATTAACAGAAATTTCTTTCTGGTTGAGTTTACCTGCAATAGAAAAACAAAACAGTTCTTAGAAGGGAAAAGCAGAAATGAGATTTGGCCTAATAGAATTTGTAGTGTCCATGAATGTACCTCCAGGCTCCTTTATTGCAACTCATATCTAGGAATGAAGCTTCACACCTGGAAAATCATCAATCAATACAAAATGCAGTTGTCTTCTTAGTGGACACATCACCCCAGTGTTCCTTCCTCTGTATTTAGTCCTCACTGAATACAGAGTCTATTTCAAGGTATCGGTTCAGATATTCAAAACCCTCCATGCAAATGGCCCTGGCCACCCAAGAAATCATCTCTGTGTCCATAGTGATGACCTCCCACAACAGTTGCTTCCCCCAGAAACAATGAAACTGTTGACCAATAGTAGGAGGCTCATGAGTGTGAGGGACAGAACTTTCACAGGAGCCAGACCTACACTTTGAAACTCACTTCTGCAAGAGATAAGAGTGACACCAAGCCTCACCCTATTCAGAACTAAGATCTTGTCTACAAGAAAGTTGTACCAATGTAATTAAGTTGGTTTCTAAATGTAAATCTCATCTCTTCAATTTAGTTTCCCTTCAATAATTTCTTCACACACAAATGGATACCCAACACACCCACTCACTCACACAAACTGCCTATAAACTAATAAAATTATTTCTCTTACAGGCTGGGAAAGAAGAGAGATTCTTCTTCTTCTTTCAGATTGGGAGGCAACAGATGCTAAGGTAATGGGGGTTAGAAAGTACCTAAATAGAAAGATAGATCTCCCAATCCAAGTGTGCAACCACATTAGGAAGAAAAGGTGTTTTACCATATATTAGTTAACATATGGTAACATCCTAGTGTGGACAGGGCAGTTTTAGTTTTCACATGTTAGCAGGTTGAGGTAAACACTAACTAGGGGGAAGCCTAAAGCTAATATGTGGCAAAATACTCCTTTTTTCCTAGTGAAGACAAAGCCTAAGATGAATTAAACTGGAGGTGGCCAGAGCTGCGCTTACTCCACAGTCTCCACATTTAGCCATTAGAGCACTCTTTTGGGACTCTTCTTCTAGCCCCTCTTCACCATAAATTGCTTTCTGTCTGTCCTGGTTCTCAGCTTTTGGTTATGGAGCAGGTTGGAAGATTATTTGTATTTAGAGTTTTTAACAGCTGAAGTCCAACCTAAGCCTCTCAGTTCAAGCCTTTACTGAATTTGAAAAGGGGAAGTAAAATCCCCCCAAAAAGTTCCTTGACATTGATAGGGAACGTGAAAACTTATAAATAACCAATTGCTTGGTACTAAGTCCATGGATGATCCCAGTAAGGACAGATGCTATGGTTACTGATTTATGGCTGTGAAGGACTTAAGAACAGTCCCAATGTCAATGGAGCTTCAGACATGCTAATAGCAGCTCTTTGCTGCTTGCTGCCCAGAAGCTGCTTGGCAGGGTCTCATTTCACATTACTTAATTTTCAACTGAAAATTGTGTTTTCAGGCCTAAACTGATGGTTATAATTATTATTCCTCTGAATTATTTCTAATATGAAATTCAGCAACTGTTTAATAGTTCACAGAAACAGTACACAGCAGTTTTAGACCAGAAGCAAAGGAAAAGCAGGCAGAGGACTTTAAGGAGGTGGATATCTTGATTCTCATTAAGTTTATTACATTACATGTTTTAATCTTGTCTTTAGTCCTTGAATTTGTACTTGTGTTATTGTAGACCACCCATGATACAGTAGCTGAAGGTTCTGTGGAGATAACATTACCATGTATTTTTGAGGTATGTATTGGTTTTTCAATTACTTTTCAAACCAAGTCAGAGACAGGACCTCATTCACCAGGGTTAGCACCTTAAATTTGAAATATATATTGGTACATTTGTGTAAACATTACATGGGATACACAAGAAGAATTGGAGTCTTGCCATTTTTAAGACACAGTGAAAGACTCATCTTTTTGTGCAAACCTGTTCACAAAAACAGAGGTCTACAATGATCTGTATGTTCTCCAGGTGAGGATTTAGCCTTTTTAGGGTTCTGGATAAATCAAGGGAGGAGTGGAGAGTTTAGGCCAATATAGGGAGAACCAGTGTGAATCTAATTTTTGTTACATGACACCTAGAGAGGTAGGGGAATTAGAAGTACACCTCTACCTCGATATAATGCTGTCCTCGGAAGCCAAAAAATCTTACCGCGTTATAGGTGAAACCGCGTTATATTGAATTTGGTTTGATCCACCGAAGTGCGCAGCCGCCCCCACGCCCGGAGCGCTGCTTTACCACGTTATATCCGAATTCGTGTTATATCGGGTGGCGTTATATCGAGGTAGAGGTGTATAGACAGCAGACTTTCAGTGTCCTGCATGCAAATCTCAAAGGTGCCCCCTGCTGGTTTGGGTTGGTTTCGAAAGGTTTTGTTTAAGGCATCTTACATCTAGAGCTGGGTAAATAATTTATTTTTTGGTTCAACCTGCAAATCGAAAAATCAGAAACAATAGATAGATTCCGAAAATGTTCAGAATTTGTCAGCAAATATGGGTGTGACCTCTAGTGGTTAGGGCACTTGCTTGGGAAGGAGAAGACCAAGGTTTGAATCCACACACTGGCTCAGGGATTCAACTCAGAGCTGTACCCTCCTAGATGAGCATTCTAACCACCAGGCTATAGACAATTCTGAGATGAGTCACTCTCAGGTTCTCCTGTGAAAGGTATTTTACTTTGTATAAATACTTAAATATTCATTGGGCCAAAGAGAGAGAGTTAGTGAAAATGACAGTTCCCTGGTGATTAAGCCTCTCACTGTGAGGTAGGAGTTGTGGATTCAAATCTTCTGTCTGCCTGATTTAGAGGAGGGATTTGAATACACATCTCCCACATCCCAGGTAAGTGCTCTAACTGCTAGGCTGATAGATGGACAGACATGCTGTCTCTCACTTCTCTGAAGCTGGCCCAAACTAACTTGGTCAAATTTATGAATAGTTTCAGCTCAATCAAAAGTGTATTTTTGGCACATAACCTATTTGTTGAAAAAATTTCATCCTACTTCACTCTGATGGAGGAAGGTGGGTTGCCCAGTGTGGCTGTCAAGAGACCAAGGATTGTTAATGCCTTCAGTGCTGCATTAGAACAGGGGAGACTACAAGGACTCACACTGTTGTTGCCTTCATTGCCATATATTCTGTGTTGTGGTGTACAGCATATTCAGTTATTTACAGTAAGGGTACCAAATTAATTCTGTTGAGAAGACAAATTGCTGTTTAAAATTATTTGTTTTTTTGTGCACGCAATTAACTGATTTGTTGACGAAGTGGTAATAACCATGCAAGTTACATGCTCAGTCATGTACCTTTATTATTGTAAAATATGGCTCATGACGTGATTCAAGAGTTGCATCCCAACTAGATAACTAGTTCACATCTCTTAGAGCTGTTATTTCAGGCTGTGTACAGATTCAGGAAAACCACGCTGCCTCAGTTATGTATAGGCTACACATGTTTCATATTTTTAAGATTTTCTTTACAATAGTAAGAGCTAGAGATATGCTTCTTTTAATGAAAACTTGCATTCTGCAAAATCTGAATCTGTCATATAGGCTGAATAAATAACAGAAACAGACCATATCTGTCTCCTGGATCCTATGTTTAAAACCTGTTTGAGTGTCTTTTCACAGACCTATGTTACTAAAAGTTTTAAATTCAGAATAAATTAATAGTGTGAGAATGTATCTTAGTAATTAAACTAACTAAATAATAGGTAGATGACTGTTGCATCTAACAGTGATGTCATGGTGTCATGTGTGTTCTTATGTGGCTGTATAGTCCAATCCGTGAAGAGCAAGATCACAAACAGATATCACACAGGAATGTGCAGGCTCCCTCTTGATACTTGGCTGTCTTTTCGATCGATTTTTCACATCTGTCTTCCTCAAAGTGTTTACAACCTTTATGGATAGTTGCTTTCCATTCAGATCTGTCTGTGGCTCTGTCTTCAAAGTTATCAGTAGTTATGCTGCATGAGGTGAGATTCTGCTGAAGTGTGAAGGGCCTCTTGCATTTTCTGAGTTTCAGCTCACTATAGAAAAGTTTTGTTGGGAGTCTATCATCGCCCATTCTTATACTATGACCTGCCTGTTTAAGCAGAGCTTTGATTACATTGCCTTGTTGCTGGTTGTTTTTTGCTTTTTCAAGGACTTTAATGTTTGAGACTTTGTCTCATCATTTTCAGAGTGGTAGCCGTGTTAGTCTGTACCAGCAAAAACAACGAGGAGTACTTGTGGCACCTTAGAGACTAACAAATGTATTTGGGCATAAGCTTTTGTGGGCTAAAACCCACTTCATCAGATGCATGGAGTGGAAAATACAGTAGACAGGTGTATATATATACACAGTACATGAAAAGATGGGAGTTGCCTTACCAAGTGGGGGGGGTCAGTGCTAACGAGACAATTCAATTAAAGTGGAAATGGGCTATTCTCAACAGTAGAATACCAAGGGAGGAAAAATCACTTTTGTAGTGGTAATGAGGGCAACGTAATCAGGGTGGCCCATTTCAAACAGTTGTCAAGAAGGTGTGAGTAACAGTAGGGGGAAATTAGTACAGGTCTCTCGCATCTTACGCGCATTTAACATGCGTGTTTTCAGCTTTACGCGGTCGGCAAAAACAAAAACAAACAAACAAAAAGAGAAAAATAACAATTTTAATACTGTACCTGTAGTGCGGGCGATTCCGCCTGCCATTGAACTCAATGTAATTTTGACTATACGCGGTTTTCACTTTACGCGCTAACCGCGGAACGGAACCCCCCGTAAGATGAGACAGAACTGTATGGGGAAATTAGCTTTTGTAGTGACCCATCCACTCCCAGTCTTTATTCAGGCCTAATTTTATGGTGTCCAGTTTGCAAATTAATTCCAGTTCTGCAGTTTCTTGTTGGAATCTGGTTTTGAAATGTTTTTGTTGAAGAATTGCCACCTTTAAGTCTATTATTGAGTGTCCAGAGCTTTAGAATAGAACAGATATAGCACACATGAAATTTTACAAGATACTTAATGTGTTTGCAGTAAACTGTCCATGTTTCACATGCTTATAAATGGGGTGCTATCTCTGCTGAATTGTATATCATAGATTCATAGACTCCATGGCCAGTAGAGAGCACTGTGATCACAAAATCTGATCTCCTGTATAACACAGGCCATAGAATCCCCCTCCCTCATCCCGCCCAAATTATTAGAGCTCATTTTTTAGAAAAACATCCAAGCTTGATTTAAAAATAGTCAGTGACTGGAGAATTACTCAGGTCATCCCATTTATTCTTTTTAAAAACTGGCTCAACTTTAGCTTTCTTCCAGTCTTCTGTGCTCCAAGACTTATTGAAAATCAATATTAACGGTCCAGTGAACTCCCCCGCCAGCTCTTTTAAAACTCTTGAACGCAAGTTATTTAGACCTGCTGATTTTAAAATGTCTAACTTGAGTAGCTTCTTTTTAGTATCTTCCAGAGATATTAGTGGAATGGAAAGAATGTTATCATCATCATAGGATGAGACTGTCATCTGTTTTTCCCCAAATACAGAAGAGAAATATTTAGTGAACATGTCTGCCTTTTCTAATTATTATTTAAATTTCTACTATTTCCATCTTTAATGGACCAATACCATTGTCAGGATTCTTTTTGTTTTGATCCCCGCAGTTCCCCGTCGCTGTGGAGAGGCGGGGGACCCCAGCAGCTCCTCGCCACCACCGGCAGAAGGGGGACCCTGCAGTTCTGAGCAGTGGTTGGAGGGGGACCCTAGAGCTTCGACCTCCATGGGTGGTGGGGGCCCCCAGAGCTCCCAGCCGCCCCACAGCCGCCCAGCCCTTCCCATTTTATCATGAATATTTTTAGTAAAAGTCAGGGACAGGTCACAGGCTTCCGTGAATTTTTCTTTATTGCCCGTGGCCTGTCCCTGACTTTTACTAAAAATATCCATGACAAAATCTTAGCTTTAATCATGAATGCAGAAAGCTTATATTGAGAAAAAACTATATTTGTGGTGAGATATTTCAGAATATGGATGGGAGGAAACACTGACACTGGAAATAATGGGGGTGCTTTTATTTTAGCTTTTGGTAGACATGAAGGAATAGAGATGTGCTGCTAAAATTGGAGCAACAGGACATCCTGTCTGAAAGCAACAGCATGTTTCTCTTCCCAGACCTGAGTGTTATTAGAAAGGATTTGAGGGAGGAACAATAGATGTTCTTGTCAGTGTTAATGGAACAGTATCTGCCATATTCCATGAGCAGGAGGAAACACATTTTGGGGAGCGCTCTCCAGATCCAAGCACTACAGGAGAAAACAAGGCCTACACAATGTGGAACTAGAAGAGATATAGAATGGGAGTGGTGGGAACAACCAGCTGGCCAGCCAGACACCCACGGAGAGAAATGGGGGTGAGAGGAAGGGAGTCAGTTAGTTTGTGTGTTCCACTATGAGTTTGTTACTGGGTTTCTTTCTCATTGTGCTGCTCTTATATCTGAGCTGTCCACCCCCACCGGAGAGACAGACTAATAACCAGAATAAGGTGAGGTTATTTCTGTGCAGCCTCTCCAGCTGTTGCATCTTTTCACTAACCAAGACTGTAAGCTTTTTGGGGCTGGGGCTGTTACTTATTATGTATGATTATTAGAGAGACAAGGTGGGTGAGGTAATATCTTTTATTGGACCAACTTCTGTTAATGAGAGACACAAGCTTTTGAGCTACACAGTGCTCTTCTTCAGGTGATTATAGCACCCAGAACCATAGGGCTAGGATACATGACTGAGCCCTTTGGGTACTATAGTAAATTCCATTGTTACTTACGCTTGTGATAGTTTTTCTTAAAACCCCAGCTGTTGGAGTGCTGTGACTATATGAGAATCTTGGTTTTCATTTACCTCTAGAAAAAAATGGAAGTTTCCAGCCCTCCTGCTTGCAGAGAGAAATCTGAAACCATGAGCTGAGCACAGAAATGAGAAAGGTTTGAAGGTGGGGTTGACTTTTGACTGTTGGCCATACTGGGTGATGTTGAATGTAGGGTGATCAGATAATAAGTGTGAAATATCAGGACGGGGATGGGGGGTAATAAGTGTCTATATAAGACAAAGCCCTGAATATTGTGATTGCCCCTATAAAATTGGGACATCTGGTCACCCTTGCTGAATGCCTGTTCATCTCTGGCTGTGTGAGCTGTCCTTGCATGGCACTCCGGTCCAGAGACCTGATCGGGCTGTGGTGCCTGGTGCTATACCTGTCCCTGGCTCAGTGCTCCCCTGGGAAGAGCTGGCCTATGCCCCCCACAGCAAGGAGTGGGGGTACTCTGCTGGCAGGTGCTGCCTAGCAGGGGGGGCAGAGCTCTGCTTTCAGCAGGGAGGGCGCAGCCCAAGCCCATTGGTGCAGAAAGGTAAGGAAGGGCGAGTGAGCTCAGCTGGTGCCCGCAATATGCCCAGGACCGGTAGGGGGCGCACTCTGGTTGGGATGGCGGAGGTCCGGGGAAATGCTCTCTTTGTGCAGCAGGGCCCGGAGCACGCGGTCGCTCGCTCTCGCACGGGCCCTCTGTCGGGCGGACTCCAGTCACGCTGAGCCGGGGCGTTGCTGGGGGCGTCCTAGAGTTTGCACCAATCATAGCGCACTGCCTTGGGGATACGCCAATCAGAGGCCAGCGCACCAATGTCGTTCTTGTCGTAAACAATTTGCCTTTTCGCAACCTATCCGTCGTAAATTGGGGCGCAAGTCACCCAATCAGAATCCTCGGGGCGTCACCGATCCAGGCGCGTCGGGGCCGGACTTGTCTTTGCCGCGGCCATTCGCCGGGGCTGGGGACGGCTGCTCTGCTGAGGGGGACCGCCGCCGCCAAGGCGAGGGGAGCGTCCGGAACGTGGTGCGAGCCAGACAGACCTGGGAGGTGAGTGGCGCCCTGCAGCCTCCTGGTCCCCTAGCGCCCACCCCCCGCGGAGCCCCGGAGGCTGAAGGGGGTTGGCTCCGTGACCCCTGTCAGAGCGGTAACGCCAGAGCCCCTCCCTGCGGGCACACCCCCCCCCCGCTGTCACAGCTGTAACGCCAGAGCCCCTCCCTGCGGGCACAGCCCCCCTAGCCGTGTGGCCCCCACTCAGGGCTACATGTAACTTAGCTGCAGTGAGTGATGGTACCACATAAGGCAGGAGGGAGCTCCTGGAGGGTATTATGATTTAAAAAAAAAAACACCAGGCCCCAGACAGCCACCCCCTGTGACTTGGTATTGGCCAAACAGGAGGAGGCTACACAGGGAATGCACAGGCTCGTACGGAATCTCTACATCCAGGACCACAACGTGTTTTACAATGTTGGGGTGGTGTCATTATCTCTGTCTTAAAGCTGGGGAAATGGAGGTATAGAGGGAAAGTGACTTTCTCAGTATCACCCAACAAGTCAGTGGCACAATTAGGCCAATTCTCTGGTATGAAGTTTTGTTGGTTAGGGGTGTGTAAAAAATACACATGGCCAGCATAGCTATGTTGGCAAAACTCCAATATCGATGCAGATATGCCAATAGAACAGTGCTCCTGTCAGCATAGTTAACATCATTCAAGGAGGTGGTGGGGTTATGCTGACAGAAAAATTCCTGGTAGCATATGTGGCATATACATTAGGGGGTTCTGCCGGTATAGTTATCCTGGCAAAACATTTGTAGTGTAGACAAGGCCTCAGGAGCAGAATCCAGGTCTCCTGACTTCTTTAGACACAAGACTATACTCCCTCCACACAGTCTAATTACAAAATTCAAGCGTGTGCATGTTGTTACTTTCTGTAAAATTAAATAGCGTCGAAGATCAACTCTTGAATGGGCCATTTTGTTTTCTAGGATCAAACTACTGCAGAACAGGGTCCTGTTGGGTAGGCAAAGTGTTTCCAGCACTTGTACTCCCTTGGGTTCAACCATGATTCACAGCCTCTTCCTGATTAACTCCTCAGGGGATATTTTTCTGGAGAAGCACTGGAAAAGTGTTGTCAGCCGCTCTGTTTGTGACTACTTTTTTGAAGCACAGGAGAGGGCTACAGAGGCAGAAAATGTACCTCCTGTGATCCCCACACCTCATCACTACCTCCTGAATGTTTATCGTCATAAGATTTTTTTTGTGGCAGTGATTCAGACAGAAGTGCCGCCCCTCTTTGTCATTGAATTCTTACATCGGGTTGTGGACACTTTCCAGGTGAGAAAAGCAGGACATTATGTTTCTTATTTATCTGTCACTCGTGCATTCACTGTCTTATAATAGTAAAGATCGCCTTGTAGCAATATTATGTTGTTCATTAGGAACTGCCACAGTGAGCTTTTTCACAGCAGTGCCCTTTCTCTGCATGGCATGCTTTGCTTGGCTGGTGTAGACCAACAAAAGTGGATTTATAAATTAGGTCTCTACCATTTAGTTGTTTAATGTGCTCAACTACAATTCCTTGAATTCACATACACAATTTAACACAACAGATCATTTTTTTTCAGCAAGAACTCAGACAAAGGTAAAGCTCTTTCAGTGCAATTGCACCCCACTTCATGCTCTTGCCAAGTCAAAAGTCTGTAAAAAGAGATGGGTTTCACACAATGGCTGAAAAATCAACAAGCTTGAGCTCTTTCAAATCCAAAGTCTGCCTCTGAGAACATCCTGTCACCTAACATGTAAAACTGGGGACTGTTAGCTCAAATACACTAGCTGATATTAACTTTGGAGATTCACAGCAGAGCATGGATGATGCTTCACTTAGTCAACACCCAGCCATTTAGTGCTTATACAGTAAATCAGTGAACAACTTGAATTGTACCTGCAAACAAATAGACATTTGAGATCATATAAAACAAATTTCCATTAATTTAACAAAATAACCCTAGCATGATAATTTACAACTTTGGGGTTTGCAGGGTCTTCTGCAGGGTGGGAAAGGGTATTAGATAGTGCTGAGAGTTAACTCAGTAGCCTTTCACCTTTGCAGATCTGGGACTTAAATCCTGCCTTGGATCATAAAGGAGCTGACTTTGTCAGTTTCTTTGTAACTGAATATTTTTTTCTTTTTCACCAGGACATTCTATTTTATTGATTATAGTGGCAGTGAAGTAATGAGTGTGGAGGACTGAAACACACAAAAGTTCTGAAAGATTATGATATTATGCTTATAATTAATTAAAAAAAAAAAAGCCAAAGGGAGAAAAAAAGGAACTCTGTTAGGTTACCAGTAATTTGCTTCCTCTTTTGTCTGTGTCCCATCATTGTCATTCTGCTCATGAGAAGACCAGGACTGGATCAGCAGCAAGGTGATTCCCAGTCAAGATGCAGCTGCACTCATAACTAGAAAAACAGGACATCAGGATCAACTTATATTTGCAAGGGTTATGGCATTGTATGGGCTGTTACCTTACCGTATGTTTATCCCAAAGTGGAGTTGCTTCCTGTGGGATTTTTTTGAATCTAATTTTGTTCTAATTGAACTTTTCTCCCTCAGAAGGAATTTGGGCAACTAACGGCATTTCTTTCAGATAATGGAGTGTTATCTTTGGATTTGGTTTCTCTGAGTTTCCTGTAGTGAATTTAAAGTACAAATCTTGTTTCACAGAAAGATGAGTCACATTAGAGTTGCCCCAGAGCGTTGTTAATATTCAGAGTACAGTGGTAGTGGGATCCTCGGGCAATCTAGGGAAGGAAGGCAGACATCATGTTCTGCCTGCAAAGCTCTGAATCCTGTGATCAGGATTTGAGGTGTCCCATGACCAGAGTTGCAGCAGAAGAGAGAAAATAGGAGCCTTTAGTAAAACTTCTTTATCATGTGTGCTTTGCTTCTGAGCACTATAGTCAGACACATGAATTCAGACGTGGGAGGTGTGAGTGGGGAATGGGATCAGAAATTAGGTAGATTCAGGGATCAGACTGGTAGGTGGAGCATGAAACTTGATGGTACTCTTCCAAGCCTTTCCCAGAGGAGATGTTGATAATTTGGAGAGGGCTTGGAGAAGAGCCACAAGAAAGACAAGATAAGAAAAGATGCCTTATAATTAGGGTGACCAGATATCCCGGTTTTATAGAGACAGTCCCGTTTTTTGGGACTTTTTCTTATATAGGCGCCTATTATCCCCCACCCCCTGTCCCGTTTTTTCACAGTTGCTATCTGGTCACCCTACTTATAATAATGATAGACTCAGAGACCTCAGTCTACTTAGGTTAACAAAGAAAAGGTTACAGATGACTTGATTACAGTTTTTAAGTATTTTCATGGGGAACAAATATTTGGTAATGGGCTCTTCAATCTATCGGAGAACGGTACAACATAATCCAATGGCTGGAAATTGAAGCTAGACAAATTCAGACTGGAAATAAGGTGTACATTTTTAACAGTGTAATTCACCATTGGAACAATTTACCGAGGGTCGTGGTGGATTCTCCCTCACTGACAACTTTTAAATCAAGATTAGATGTTTATCTAAAAGATCTGCTCTGGGAATTATTTTTGGGAAGTTCTGTGGCCTATGTTGAGCAGGAGGTCAGACTACATGATCGTGGCTGTCCCTTCTGCCCGTGGAGCCTGAGTCTGGAGCTATTTGCAATAGATTGTGCAGGTTGTTCAGAATATGATTGCTCATGCTTATTGGGCTTGTGCTGGGCTGCCCCTTAGATGGAGAATGCACACATGGGTTCTTCTAGGTTCTTCATGTTTGGCTTCCCATTCATGAGGCTCATGTGCCCCAGGAGGCTGCTTGAGCTTGGCTCTCTTCTGGGAGCTCTGCTAGATTCTTTGGACTTGGCTCCTTCTTGGTTGTGGGGGCTGGAGAGAAGTGGCAGTGTTGTTCAAGCTCACTCACAGCAGTGCCAAAATGAGCTGTCTCTCTCAGTACATTATTCAGATGGTCATTCTATGATTCTCCCCCCCCCCCCCACCCTTCTTCCTTACAGGCTTTGATGAGCAGTAAAATAGTTAATATTTCAAGTATCAAAGTTATCATTGGCTGTCTGAGTTAGT